GGAAGGTTTAAGGAAGAAGGTGAGACAGCCCTGGCTCCCCGGGTTAGTCACTGTTGATGTTTGTTTCCAAAGTTTGTAAATACACAGATATATAGGATTTTTTTTTCCTTCAAAAATCATAGTATAGGCAGGCCCTAGATTTCAAACAAGGTCTGCCCCGGTCTGTCTTGAAGTTAAGCTTATTTATATAGCAGAACAATTAGGTATAGTTCTTATCAAATTTCAGTTTGAGGAATGGTTCTCCTGGAATACAGTATAGCGTGTACCTTTTAATGCATTAAAAACATTAAAGAAACACTTGTAGACATACTAAAACATGTTTAACATAGTACAATTAAACATGTTTTTAATGCCATCGCAAAGTAGTACCTGTTGCACGTTATGAACCTTTGTATGTCCCTGAAATTTTTCATGTCATAGACTATCTAAGGGTTGGTCTATAATTACGGGTTCCATGTAAACCCAAGAAATGTTCAGAACTCAAGATTTCCTGTACACCGAATATGAACTTTTATATTCTTTTTTTTTAACATATTATGGCATGCACGTTACCTAGTCAAATCATTGATTTGAATATTTACATGGTATTTTTAAAAATCTGCCATATTTCTTTGAACTATTCCTGAACTATTGTCGATGTAGGTTTTCCATTATTATAAAGTGTTACAGGGAGCCTCTGTTATATATTAATTGTTGTTATGGCTCTGGTTATTTCTTTGGCTCTCATTCTTAGAATTACTGGATTCAAAGCAAATGAATAATTTTGAAGTTCACTATGTATATTGATGCCTAGAAAGATTGCCCTTAATCTCCTTCTTTTTATCTGAAAAATTGGTTCTTAGGGCAATCGAACATTTTTTAAGTTCCGTGCTTAATGTCTCTGTGCTTTTCTTCTTTTGTGACTACTTCAGAGTGCTAGCTCCATTCCCCAAAACCTCTGAACGCTCTTTAGTGTGATCAGTTACCGCCTTAGTCACTGTTGTCCCTTTCAGAAACTGGCTCCGACTTCCCCGCTCTCCAGAAGTAGACTTTTCCCATGAAGACTTTCACAAGCCAAAATGACGTAAAGCAAAGAAACAATCATCCCTAATTTATATGGGGAAAAAATAGTTTGAGTGTTTCCAGATACAAAAATAACCTCCAAATCATACCAAATAACACGTAAGACCTGAAATAGCACTAACACAGAGTGTGTTCACAGGCACAAGTTCAAAGCTGTTGAACTTGATGCTGACTGTCGTTCAGGGGGAGGAGCACACACTGTCCGTTTCATGGCTCACTGCAAAGGCTGAACATGGCTTTCACTGTTTGCCCCTTTCTTTTCCTCATCAGAGTGGAAATCTGGATTCCTTTCAGTTAGTGGGTGTCGTGGAGTGGGGAGGTACTAATGTACAGTGAAATATACTTTATCTCATTATCATTTTTTCCAGATTTTTTACTTTTACCTAATTTTTATCTAAAAGTAATGTTGAAGTTATTGTTATTGATTAGGCTAAGATAATTGTTTCAGAACTAATCCATATTTAACATATAACTTAAAATTAAGTTTGGCTTGTATTCTTATATAAAGCTTTCACAAAAAGGCTAAATGTATTTTTTTTAAGTTTATAGAAACTTTCTGATTTGAACATGACATTGTTAAATGCTCTTGCATCAACACGGACTTCTAGTGACCTTATGCGCAACAGAACGAAACACTGCCTGGCCCTGCGTCGTCCTCACAGTCATGACGCAGGCACCAGTGGTGGGATTCAGCCAGTTCACACAGTCATGACGCAGGCGCCAGTGGTGGGATTC